TAGTGGACAGTTACCTGCTTTTCTATCCTCACGCACATCAGAACATTCTGGAGATGCTCATGAACACTACAACTTCACCCCCAAAAGATGGGAAAATCTATTTACACACTACTATACTTACCATCTGTATAAGAGAAATATGTGAAGAATTCCTGATATAAAGTATCTTCCTTTTTTTCTAAAATACAAACTTTTGGATCTACCCTGAAAAATAGGCCAGGTTGGAGGGGACTTTGAGCACCCTGCTCTAGTGGGAGATGTTCCTGCCCATGGTAGGGAGGTTGGAACTAGATGATCTTTAAGGTCCCTTCCAACTCAAACCATTCTATGACTCCATGATCCTGCTTTCAAAAAATGTGTTTCTTATTACAACCACAGATATTCTTCTTGTATATTTAAATGTCCAGTAGTTCATGAATCCAAATAATCTCTTAATGTTGACATCATCCAAATGAGGTATCTAGAGGCTGTTCTGTGCTGTATCTCTTGAGCAGATATGGAACACAGTGTTAGAATTAATATTTAAAAGGAGTTTTCTGACACAGTCTTCCTTGCTATATTTCTATGTAGAAACTTTTGGTGAAAGCTATAAACCTCACTCTGTCAAATCAAGATAGTCTCTGATTACTTCAATCATCAGTGTTTATTCCCCTCCCCCAGCTTTTATTCCTTTTTACTGAGCACAAAGATTTACAGATACTATTATTTGTCCTATTTTCAGCACTGCTCTAAAGGCTTCCAAGTACATGTTTATTTTTCTAAGTGAAACTGGCTTTGGAACTGGTGATCTGGGGTTTTTGCTGTTATTGCTGCTTTTGCTTCTATTATCAGCATTACTGTATGCTAGAGACAAACCTTAACTGAATCACCCACAATTATTTTTGCAACCACCTGTTTTCTCGGAGAATATATATCACTATTTGTGAGAAACAGCTGTTACTTCTTCCCCACATTCAATACACAGTTCCAAATATCATGAAATCACAGAATGGCTGAGTTTGGAAGGCACTTCCATAGATCAGCAAATCCAGCCTGCTCAAACCTGTGTCAACTAGTGTGCATTGCTCTGGCCTATGTCCAGTTGGGTTTTGAGTATCTTCAAGAATGGTGACTCCAGGGCTTTTCTAGGTGACCTCTCCCAATTTTTGAGAAAATCCATAATAAAAACTTTTTTCTTATGTTTAAATTGAATTTTCGGTATTTCAGTTTGTGCACATTATCTCTTGTTTTTTCCCTGGATACTCCTCAGATGAGTTTTTCCTAATCTTTGCGCATCCTTACTCATCTTGCTTACTATCCCAGTCATTTATTTAAACACACTTACGAGCTCCTTTAAAGCCTTCTCATTTCCAGGCTGAACATCCCAGCTCTTTCAAATTTTTCTCATATGACAGATATTCCAGCTCTTAATGATTTCATGCCCTTTCACTGGACTTGGTCCAGTTGCTCCTTGTCTCTCTTGTACTGGGGAGCCACAACCTGGAGCCAACATTCCATGTACAGAAGGGAAGGATCACCTCCTTCAAACTGCTGCCAATATTCTTCCTTACGTGATGCAAGTCAGAGTTGGCTTTCCTTGCCACAAGAGCATGTTGCTTGCTCATGTTCAGCTTGCATCCACCAGGACCTCCACATCCTTTCTTGAAAAGCTGCTCTCAAGCCAGTTGGCCCTGCATGTGTACTGGTGCATGGCATTCTTCCCCTCCAGGTGCTGGACTCCGCATTTCTTATGATTGAACTTCACAAGGTTCCTGTTCACCCATTTCTCCAGTCTATCAAGATCTTTCTGAATGGCATGACTGGTTTATCAGCCATTAGTCATTTGCAAGCTGGCTGGAAGTCCACTCTGTCCCATCAACCAGGTCAATAATGAAGAGATTAAACAGCATCAGCTGCTGGTGGTACTCAACTGTATTTTTTTCCTTTAAATCAGTCTTTCATCTGTTATAAAACATTGTGCATTTGCTCTGTATTTTCCTACTTCCATTATTCTTTTCAAAGACTTGGTCAAAAGCCTTTAATAGAACCAAGCAAATTCTATCCTCTTCTTTCAAATACTCCTTTATATTTCTCCAAAGAATTCTAACAAACTAATGAGATGTGAATAATTCTCCGTGATTATTTTAAAATCCTATCACCATCAACGTGTAGTCCTTCCCCCTGCCACAAATACACTCTGTAGATTCTTCAGTATAAAGTATAGTATTGTTTCATCATCTTCCTTATTCCCTAATACCACAAGGAGTTTTCAGGAAGTGCTCGCACTGTAACAATCAAAGCAACAGCTTCAGTACTGTGCCATGGACACCAAAATCTCACCCTTCCTCTCTGTATGCTGCTGTTAAACAAGAGTGCATAATAAAAAACATTGCCCCATCCATTCTCATGTAAATGTCTTATGAAAGGTTCAGAAACAATATAGATGAAGCATGAGGATATCAAACATTTAAGGGTAGAAATACAATGCTGATTCTAAATTTCTTTTGCATAAAATAAGCACAAATTGTGGCTCAAACGATGATCAGTAGTGTAACATAAAGTCAAGAGAGAAAAACACTTCAAGCAAATAACTATAACCACAACATTATATCAGCAGAGCACCTCTTATTGTCGAAGCAGTTCAATCTTTCTGGGCCTTGCAGATTCTGCTATGTTCCGGGCTAAGCAAATGGTGTTAGAAGCTCCAAATGTCAGATGATCTTGAGGACTGTCACTCCCACAGCTAAATAATATTTCGGTCACAGCTTTCCACCTATTTTTCAGCTTTTGTCTTAGTTCTGCAATTCCTTGTGCACGGACTTCAAAATGAATGCCTTAAAGGACATTGTAGAGAGGTTGGTGCTGGTCTCTTCTCACAGGTAATTAGGGACAGAACCAGGGGGAATGGTTCCAAGTTGCAACAGGGCAAGTTTAGGTTGGACATTAGGAAGAAATTCTTTACGGGCTGGACATTAGGAAGAAATTCTTCACAGAAAGAGTGGTCAGAACCTGGAATAGACTGCCTAGGGAGGTGTTTGAGTCGCCATCCCTGGATGTGTTCAAGTGTCATTTAGATGGGGTGTTGGGTGATATGGTTTAGGGGTGAACTTGAAGTGTAGGGTCAACGGCTGGACTCGATGATCCCAAGGGTCTTTTCCAACCTGAATTGTTCTATGAGTCCATGATTCTAAAGGCAGTTGATATGAGATAGACAGCATTCAATATCAAAGTTTTTGCCTTGATGCTCTATATACAACATATATTCCTTACTCCATCGTAGATCCAATTACTTATTTCACAATGGATTTTGAAGAGTACAACAATACTGTAATTTTCAAATTACTGTAAGTAAGATCAAGGAAGTAGACACAAGGAAAAGTTGTCCATCAGTTCATCCATCTCCACTGCTGTTCCTTCCGTTAACATAATCAAATTTGTTTTTAAACTGACAATATAGATTTACTTACCTTTTCAACCCCAACTGTAACAGTAAGAAAAGCAATGCAACGGAGAAAAAAACCTAAAAAAGTATGTCTGCTTTCCTTCTCCATTCTCCATCCTATTCTTTCAGCATGGTACGTGTACTATCATCCCTCTGACTATGTGAAATAAATAATGTGTAGAAAGCCAAATTTAAGCTTAATGCTATTGAAATTAATTTCTGCAAGGAAACTACATTTGAGTGGCTTCCCAAAAAGACTTAGAGACTACTACCTTTTTCTGTTAGGCTTAAATTACATTTTATTTCATGGTGCACTGAAATAACACATTATATAGGAAGATACTGTAAAGCACACTGAAGTGTCCATGGTTACATTTTAAAGGGATAACCACAGAACTCCAGATTTTAATATTTACAGTAGAAATGTACTTAGTTCAAAATGCCTATTTAGTTGTGAAAGCAGGTACAATACTAAGAAACAATTTGTCATCCTTATAAAATATGTATGTGCTGTTGATTCTGTAGTGCGTGCAAGTTATGCAGTGGCAGAACAGATGTCACATTAACCCAGAGATGAAATGTGAAAGTAGAGGGGGCTCAATAATGTCAGTGGCACCTGTTACAGGTAAAACCTGTTTTGTGTCATCTGGCAATGACAGAATACACCAAAAAAAAAAAAAGGAAAAAAATATGATAAGATGAAAGGAATACACACATAAGCAGTTCACTGTTTTGATCAAAATCACTGCCACGGAAACATGGCATCATAAAGAGTAATTAGCCTGACTGGATCTATAGATCCAGGTTGGGATTATTTTTTTTTCTCACTTGAATGTTGAGTTTTTTAGCTTTAAAACTTTGATTGGACCAAAATAAAGACGCAGTAAGAAAAAAGTTAACTGAAATGTACTTTAGCCTTTCATTGCCTCATGTAAAAATATTTATCTGGGACTATTCAATCAGACATTTCTTGAGTGTTGCGTAGCTTTTCTGAGGCAACAGAAATTCATCAGACTTTGAGGCCTTTCAAATGCATGGGCAAGTATTTACTGTATCTTTACGTGGCAATTTGCCTATTAAAAGGCCAGAGGTACACCCTGATAATCAGCAACTACTAAACGTCTGTCAGATATAAATTAACACTGGCACATTTAGCACGCAGTTCTCTGTAAGAGGTTAACAGCAGATACAAAACAGAAGGATGAATTTCTCTGACAGTACTATACAGTGTTACCTTCTAAGAACAGGAAATACAAACACAAATGGGACAAGCTGTTGATTTTAGGACACTGAGTGCTTATAACTGTTCCTGGATAAAGTGGCAACCTTCTACCACATACAGAAAACCATGGTAAATTTGTATAGATGGAATCACACAGGCATGTGGAGTTTTGCTTATTGGTTCTGTGGAATTAGGGAACTTACACACACAGAGAAAACTCTCTTTTATCCAAACTGGCTAAAACCAAAATGGTGTTAAAAGGAACGTAACATCTCAAGATAGCATTTCTTAAAATCTGAAAATTATTACTTTCCTTTCTAATTCTTTTTAATACTATGTGTCAAATATACTATTTACCTATCTCAGAAGCAGCCACTGTGATGTTGTACCAAGGTGTCTCCTCTCTGTCAAAGATCTTGGCAGTCTTAATGGTCCCAGTACTAGCATCAATGGTGAAATACCTATCTTCTTCTGTGTTATGATCAATGAAGTATCTATGAAAAAATAAAACAATAAATATATACTCATTGTAGTATGTATAATCCAAAGTAACAGAAAGCTACAAAAGAGTATTACTTTAAAGCTTTTAAAATAATAGAAAACTTAAAAAAAAAACCTTAGGAAAAAAATCTGTATTATGCAGACACCCAAAATAATATCGTATCTTATTTCTTTTAGAATGTTACATTTATTTTGATACATAACAAGGTTTCCACCCTGAGTCATGAAGATATACATTGCTACCAAGTGATATTTTCCACTGCAGTATGCAATCCTGTCAAAGGTAACATATTTTGACTAAAAAATCCTAAAACGGAAAAGCAGAAAAGCTCATTTGCTTGCCACTGCAAACCACTGTGCTCAGTTCCGAGTACCTGTTTCGAAGTATGTCTCTTCGACATGACCCTGACAACAGGATGACACAACTGTTACAGAGAGAAGGAGCAGAACGCATTGCTGTGAGGGACAGGAGCCTAGAAGCAGACTTAAGCAGCCCTGATTAACTCCCTCCACTTCTGGGTACTGTGCCCAGCAGGGAAAGTAAAAGCCTTGAGGTGGGTAATGGAATCAGAGGGAGGGAACACAAAAGAAGAGATCGACAAGACATTTTCTCTCAAAGACAGAAACATTTACAACAGCTTTTAACAAGTGAAGCAATTACACACCCCTATCAAGCCTTCTTAAATAACTTCAGACTTGATGAAAAGAAAAAGAAAAAGATTTAAAGTCTTATACATCATAATTGTTTTTCCCAATAATTTGTCAACCCTGCTTGCATTCTGTGAAGCTTTTAATATATGGAAGATATATATAGGTCAAAATGATTTATTTGTCCCAGCCAATTGCTCTTATTCCTGCATCAGAAAAGTGTAATTTCCAGCTAATAAAAAGAGTGCTGGAGATAAAAGCTGCCAAGCTCAAAAAAATCGGAAATAACTTCAGTTTTATTTCTCTCACGATGTACTTATTTAGACTATTTGTGGAAAAGAAAAACAAACAAGCAAACAAAAGTTCCACTGAATGATACATGAAGGTAAGCTATGATATGTGGGAAAGCTAAAGCAATAAAGAACTAGATGAGGAGGCAGTAATTTGAGTGCGTCACCTTAGCTGGTCAAAGGAGAGGACACTCAGTGGAAAAGAAGTTAGGATTTTCCTTGTTGAGGAAACGCCCCCTCTCCCACCCTCAAGAAGTATTTCACATCTGCCTTACAATATGGTATTTTAACTCACAGCACTGCCGATTTTCTTTTCATGCTTCTAGTATTTTCTGCAATGAAAGAACTGAAGGCCAGGCACTGGAAATCAAAGCAGCCACAACTAGGCTGGAAAATCTTTCTTTCGTGCCTGCTCCCTGTCTTTCTTTTTCACGTCATGAGAGTGAAACAGCCGCCATGACTGTGGGAGCTGTTGGAGAGACAAGAGCAGACCTCAGCTCCCACCCACTTTACGTTTATCCAGAATAAGGATTTAACACATTCTCTTCCATCCGAGCTTCAGTCAGAACCTACGTGTGGTTCATTAACCCACAACATCTGAGAATACCTCATTCTAAAACACACCTGAACTGCTCAGTAAAGACACTTTGCATGTGGAGGATGGCAGCCGAGGTTGCTTCAAACAAGTAACAGACTCCACTGCCTCCATACTGAAAGTAGACTGCCAAGATCTTGATTATGTGGGGGATTTTTAAAAATATGAGTCAGGAACTATTTTTTCAGAGGGTATTATTTAATCACTATGTCCCAAAATGGATGAAAAAAGTCAAAATAAGTAATGTTGCCAGAAAAAAGAATAACGAAAAAAGCGCTGCACTTCTACTTGCTGGATCACAGCGGGCATTACGCACACACGTCCAGAAGTTGCTACGCTGCTCAGTGCTCAGTAAACTTATGACATTAATTAAAAGCAAACTCTTCACCGGTGTTTATCAGCTACTGATCACAATCACAACATGCTGAATGCTACAGTTAACCATGAAAATTTAAGTTGCTTTTGAGGAATATCGAAATCCTCTGAGGAGACATTGTGAAACAAATAAACAAAAAAGGACCACACAACTATCCTGTTGGCACTATTTTATGTGGCAGTACTGGTCCAGGCTACCCACAACTCTTTTGTTGGGAATCAGGATTTGTTTTCAATTTCAGAACAACTGACTTTTGCAGTCTTGGCAGTTCTAAGTCTTCAATGAAGACAGATTTTTAGGTTCTCCAAGTGTTTATTTGTAACGGAAATGTTCTGAAAGATTGTGCCAATATCCGTGGAGAAGTTCTATATCCCATGCGCACAGCTATCCTTACCTTTCACTAATTTAAAAAACTTTGGAGACGAAGTGGTATTCACCTCTAAAAATTCATAAAGCTGTCACGCTTGCCATGGAGTTGTGTTGAGATTTGAACTTCATGCAGGAGATACATCTTTCAGGTCGAGACATCCCCCCATGCCTTGTATCTTACGCTTGGCAGTGTAAGAAACCTGAGCTATGACAAACAGTTGGAATATCTTGACTATACTACTGAAATTATCAATGTTTATTTGTGTTGGGAAAGAAGCACAAATATATGCAAACAACTTTTACTGAACTGGAATGCTGTCAGAGAAGCACAGGAGCCATAATTGTCCTTCAATTTGCTTGGAGACCCTGGCAAGACTCTTTACTGTTAGAGCTTACAATTACATCCTCTCCTACTACAGCCTTGTTTTTCTTGATGCTAGAGGTCTCCTCATATGACAAAAATTATTTGCTAAAAACAGTAAGTAAAAGCTGCACTGATCTGTTCTTATGGAATAGGTACTGCCAATCCAAAACAATTTATTTTTACTCCTATATTTACATAGGAGTCTTGTCCCTGCAAACATTTATTACTATGGACACTGTTTACTAATTATCAACATCAGGCACAATGACTACTCTATGAGTCAGTATTGTGCTGACCACAGAACCATAAATACAGCGCTAAATATAAGCTTAAAAATAGATAGGATTTAACATTGGGCTTAAATAAGAAAAAAAACTTAAAGTAGTAAGAATAGTCAGCTTACAATAAGTCATTACACCTCCCCCTAAGCGTATTACTAAAACTGACAAATATCTGCCCCAAATATGAAGCTTGTGTAGAAAAAATGAAGTTTGATTCTGTTATGAATTGTGACTACGTAACACTTCATTTCCTTAAACACATCGTAAAAGGTGGTCTTATTTTTTAAAATATTAACACCTTTCCTAAATCATTTACGTACATGTGTTTGACCGAAGCTCAAAGCTCTCAGTTTAAAGAACTCTGTATTGGAAGAGTTATTTCAATTGTATTTCCTGTCTCATTAATGGAAATAAAGTGATCCTGAGGTAACCTATTGTACTAACACTTTTACTTCCAGTGACACTAGAATAATGAAAAATGTTTCTAATTTATCTGCAGCAGTACTTTGCCTTTGTGTGCTAACTTCTGCATACAGCTAGACATACTGAAACATTCACAGCTTGACAGAACTTTCCTTGATCATGAATAAGTAAGAGTGGCCCTTCCTTATGCTTTCCCATTATTAAAAAATTCAGTTCTCCTCCACTACTCCAGATTCTCCCTTACATTTGCTTTGTGTGTCGTATCTAAAGCAGCCGCTTGCGCTGCTGTGGTTCCCAATCTTCATGAGTGCCTCAGTAAAACGAAACACAGAAGATAGTCCCCACACCAGAAGAACTAGGAATGCTGGCCTAAAGCACTGATCCCAATCGCTCTAAAAATACGTTGTGTGAGAAACTCACTTGGTAGGGCCACTCATTTTTGCCATTTTGTCCACATAAGAGGACATTTAGAACAAGTCTGTACTTACAAAGTGCTTAACATTTTAGGCCTCTATAAACATTAGCCACTTATTTAACTACACGTTGAGGACAGAGACCAGGTATATCCAAAATCACAGCATATTTCAGAGCCAATGATGCTTTACTTAAGCTTCTAAATTTATGTAATCTAGTAAAAATTTACTTTTGGCTAGATAATAGTGGCAACACAGGTACCCTTACGCTCCTACCCTTCCCTCCACCTCTACTGAGCTGCTTTGGAATACTTTTTTTCAGACTGCAAAAAGCTATAGTGCAAGCTTTGAATTTCAAAGAGTTACTTCAAAAGTGAATTTCTCACCTTAATTCCACTGACTGTTTCTTCCTACTTAGAATGCATTAACTTTAAAAAGAATTTATAATATTCATTGCAGATTTTTGTTTACAGACATTTACTCATGACAATGCTGTGTGAATTTGCAGGCTTTTAACCATTAAATAAGCACATCTGAGTTGCATAGCATATGTTAATAAAGAGACTCAATAACAAGACGTGCCTAGATAAACAGCTCTCTCCATAAACTGTTTACATCCAAACCAGCAGCAGAAACCAATCTCCAAGAAACTGCATCAAAAAAGACCATGAATATAGATAACTTATTAGTCACACTATCTGAAGAGAATCTGGAAGAAATTAAATACCAAAACTCAATCCTGGGAAATGCAACACGTGCCACCTTTTTATGAGGTGAGAGTCACTAAACAGAAGAGCATTCCCAGCTTCTATCCACTTCCTTATTCTTGCTTCTGACCAAAGCAAGCCCCTGGCTCCTGTGACTTCATTCCTCCTTCCAGTCTTTTAGTGAAGCACTGCATCAGTGGCAACTAATATTCCCACCATTTTTATTAAAAACTAAAAGCATTTGTGTGAATTAGGAAATAAAGAGAAATACATATGCAATTTGATCTACAGACAGAAAGGCAGTCTAGATGTATAAATCAGTCTGCAGTACTAAAGCAGTCAGGCTCTAGTAATACAGAGAATGCTTTAAAATTGTGACCTTTTTAAAGGTGCTAAAGGAATTTAGGAACATTCATGATTTCCAAACCTTTCAGGAAGGCTTCTGAAGCTAAATCCCATAAGCATGTTCAGAATCTCTCTTCCTAAATTATTCAGTTTTCAGATAACATCAACATCAGTTTCTCACT